AGCACACCGAGCGAAATAAGAAGCCCACCAAAGAGCAACGACCTGAAATCCCCGAACAGCCCATCCGTTTGAAGCGCTTCCGCGCTCGGCGACAATGGCAATGCTGTGTCTTTTTCAATCTCCCAGAATGACGGAATATGCGGAGATGTCGCATGCCGCGATAAAGAAAGCTCACTGCACGATGCACATACACCCTCCAGTACGCTCCACCCACGCCGGAAACTTGCACGCGTGCGCGAAAGAAAGAAACGTCCTCTATTTCGTGACTGCCCCTCTTCTAAGTGAAAGTACATGATCCTGTGGAGGTTGATGCTCCGAGATAGACTACAGAAGGGGGCACGGCACACGCAGAAAAGGTGTGACCCCGGTAGGGAAGTGGGGGAGGCGAATGCGGCGTATTCCCCCGCGACTCCAGACTATGGTGCACCCCCACCAAAGCGCAAATACACACAAGCACAGCGAAAGAGCAGCCGAGGCGGCAGGAGTGCTCATATTTCAACAACACGAGAGACGGGACGTGTGAGCGGCGAGGGAGTGGGAGTCGCATTGATGGAACGACGCTCCGGCAGCTCCGAAGAAAGCGTACCACTTTCTTTCAAATGACACTTTAATGCTCTTCTCAGCTAGTGAGGAAAGACCAGGTGTCAAAACCGACGAAGGAGTGAAAGCGCAAATGCGTAGACTGACACTGCGTCGTCCCCCAGAACTGGCCCCAACGACCGTCGCCGCCATTTATTTCAAGAAGCGAGCAAGTGAGAGGGAGAGAGGATAACGATCAAGTGCGGTAACGTAGAGTTGCAAAGCAGGGGGAGGAGCTGGGAAGATCTGGCAGCTGCCACCGAGACACGGTAGCGGCCAGAAAAGAAGCGCCCGACCTCCCCTCAAGGTCGACGCCATCTCTCCACCGGCCGTTTCCATCAGATTCCCCCTCTTCTGCTTCCTCTCATAGACTTCTTTTCGCCGTCGTTCCGGCATCTCTTCTTCCCTTTTGTGGCGGCAGCTGCGTCTTCATCGCGGCGGCGCTCGCCCAGAAAAAGAAGGAACTTTCGCTTTTGTGCCAGCCGCCGGGCAGCTCGCCAGCGAGTGCGGAATCTAGGGAGGAAGAATCCTGTTCTTACCTTTATTCATTTTTTTTTGTCGTCCTTTACACCCGTTTGCTTCGTTGTGGCGGCTCAGTAGAACAGTGTTTCATCGCTGCACTGCGGAAGAAGAGCCTCTCAGCAGCGCTTCTTAGTCCGTGGGCTGATGAGGATGAACCGCAAGGCTGAGCATCAACCATTGCACTACTGGCCGCACTTCGCAATCTCACCTGATTTATACACGTGCAAGTCAAAACTCGTAGGCAGGATAACCGCTGGTTGTAAAGGGTAACTGACTGGATTCCCAGAGAAGGCAAACGCACGAAGGGGGAGACAGAAAGTTAAGTGGTTCAATCATATTAAAAGAGTTTGCGGCTATAACGTGGTAGCAGAAAGACCGGGTTGACTGGCGGGTCATGGGAGAGGCCCTGCGGTGAGCGTAGTTAGGTTGATGAAGTCGCAGCTATACCTATGGTCTGCCTACGACGTTCACAGCATCGACAGAGCTTCGTGAAATAGCACGGACTTCGGGTCTCAAGCGTATTAGGCGACCGAGGAGGCATAATTGCGGTGGCGCCATAACGATTACGGATAGCTGATAGTGTCGGTTGCACGGACTTTGTCGCAATGTGCGGCAATGTAATATCAACACTTTCCCCCTTCAGGCCAACTTCTCTGCGTTGCGTCACTATCACGTCATCTTGAGAACAACCAGTTGGTATAGACAAATACAAAACGAGGATGGTAGATACCATTGTCACTAGCTGAGTAATCAGGTCAATTGTATTATACAACCGACTGCATTATCTATATTAAAGACGGCGGTGTGGATGGGTCAACGTAATGATCTGGGACCAGGTTATCATTATCGAAGTACTAGGCTCAATTGTACCCCACGACCGAGTACATCATCCGTGCAAAGAACGCAGTGGCGATGGGGGGCTGCGTGATAACTTTCACATGCGCCTCAAACCGGGGCGTTTTCGCATACACCCTCCACCAGATCTCGGCAAGAGATCTAACCCGCAAGCCTGCGATCCTACAGCAAAAGAAATTCAGCTATCCAGTCGCACACAGTACCGACACAGTGAGCTGCGACGCACTGAAATATACGCATAGGTGCTAAAGCAGCTCCTCTGTGTAGTATGTATGCACTAATCTTTCCTACGGCTACACGCAACTATGTACACCATGCTGACGGTGGCAAACTAAACCACTCTACAGATGCATTACGGGCGGACGGACTCCTTTAGAACGGGACTCAAGGCCCCCGGCAGCCGCTTTCTCTACACGGACGATGCATCCTTTCTCCGGCTATCAAGTGCCGAATGGCAGCCTGTAAAGCGCTGACAGCGCGCACAAGGAAGCACAAAAGAACCGGAGACGTCGTTTGAAGCGAACCGCCACGCATTCCAAGCACACTGCACCGGCTGCAACAGGCGGGCACCGTATTCGAGCTGCTGCTTTTCCTCCTCACGTTCGCTGGTGGAATGAGCAGAGAGAGCCTTCTGAACACGCGTCGAGCGTTAGGAGAGATGGACCCGCTGGCGTTCGCAACGTCCGGCGCGTTGAGGATCACTACAGCTGAAAGAGCTAGCTAGCAGCACTCAGCGAGACTCCATCACCCCGAAAAGTTGAAAATGCAGGAAAGGTGATCATCGCCTTTTCGAGAGGAACGACTTTTCCCAATTCACTGCGTCTCTGCAGTGAATATTCACTTCCGTAGGGATTGATTCACCGACAGAAACGGACACAGCTGCGTACGACGCAACCGACGGCTCGTATTATTTCGCCTTCAGCTACTATCGCTGCCGTTGATAACCCAATACGTCCGCACACACGGACAGCAACCGCCAGAGTCGTGGCTCGTACGGACCAAGAGAAAGAGCAGGGGCCAACACAAGCGACTCGGTCGAGGGGGGGGGGGGGGGGGGGGGGGGGATCGGAAACTAGCAGCCACGCTTCGGTGCCCGCAGGATAGGTGATATTGATGCCACACGATATCGAATTCTCGGTCGGCCGTGCGTCTTTCGGTCGGCCACCGACGCTTCCAGGACTGCATGCGACACGGGGGGAGGGTGAGAGAGACGTTTTATCAACAGGTGTTCGCTTTCCACCGGCCGTCTTTCGCAATGCAGCTGGGACGTAGTCTCGCGCGCCTTCTCTCGCTCTCTATAGGCCTTCGTTTCTTTCTCTTTTGTTATATGCTTATATATATTCTTTCGGGCAGTGTTCTGCGCCATGAAGATGGGTCGGCAGAAAAAACTGCATTCGACGTTGGAAACGAGACTACGAGGCGGAAGGTATGCAGTTTGTGCGCCTCTCGACGGTATTGCCTCTCGCTGTCATAACTTAATGCGCCTGCAAGGCGAGTGCATATGCGAAGGAATGCGCCTACAGCTATGATGAAAATAAGTACGGCAGCTATGAAGACAGGAATAAAAGTGGTACGGTCGGCGATATTAGTGACAAATTGAAAGTAAAGTGTAACGCGCGGCTCGAGTGTCTTAGTCCATAATGCTCGAAACCGACCCCGTATCGGCCCCCGTTGCGTTCCACGCGTCTTACGAACCCCACAGACATCGCCCGTCGTCGAAATTACTGAATGACCACTCAACAAACGCGACAGATATACGACGACTGACGAGCCGCTTTTTTTTCCACGTGGATCGCTCATTTTTAGCGCACTCATATTAGATATGTATATCAAATCAAGGTGTTTTATACGCCAAAACGACAGTGCAGTTTTCGAGGCCCGCCATGGTGGTGGCAACACTGATGACACCTCCGTGGAAGGGAATCCAGGCTGCGTCCTCGATTCTCGTCGGCGTAACACCATACAGACACTACGTTAACACGCCAGTTCCGCGACGGGCATAGTTCTAATAATAATTAGGCACGGGTTTCAATACCTGCTTACAACAGAGGCGAAGGTGCGCACTGCAGTCGCTCACGCGCCGGCTCACGACACACAGTCACCTGCGGCGCGCACGTGTTGATCGAGCAACCGGGGCAAACTTGCGACACGTTCGTTCTTCCGGCAGCGAAAGACAAAAGCCGCCCCTGTCTGCGCCAGCTGGGAAACAGTCGCGCAGTGGCGGGCCGCTGTACGGAAGCACGCATCGCCAACTATCCCACCATCCCCGCACAAATGAACACAATCCCGAGCCCTGTAGCAAGTCTGCTCACGCAAATATAATCACAATTTAAAAAACACGTATTTTACATAGACGCGTCGAGGTTAAGCGAAGCGAAAATCGCCGGCAACAAACTTTTTTTCTTTTTGCCCCACGAAAACGATCGTCCTTTGTTTTGCTTTGAATCACCCCGCAAAAAAAAATGTACGCCGCCGCCCAAACTTCCTGCGTTGTACAAGTGAAAACGTCGCTCACGCGTCAATGAAGGGAGAATAAATGTTACAAGAAAGCTTGTAGCATGCCTTTCTCCGAGTACAGCAATTCAACCACAACCCTTTTCGCTCTCGATGTCACTTGGAATGCCCGGCTGCGCTAAAATCTATACTTAAGGCGAAGGCGGCTCGACAGCAGCGATGAAGTACGCCGTCTTACTAGACCCCAGCTTTGCGCTGGTCAAAGGTTGCTTTAACCAGCGCATCGTGGCATACAGTAACAATTTTCTTCTTTTTGTTAGTTTTCCTTTTTCTAGCCGCAAAGCTTACAGCGATCAAGTGGCCGCGAGAATAGAAACGGTCACTTCACCACAACAAGCCAAAACAGGACGCCACCGAAAGAACTACCTTGCTACTAAAATAGCGAGAATTTTTCTCCCAAGTGCCGCTTTTCTGCGCCTATCTGAATGACAGCAAACACGCGAAGGAGCGTTATCGAATTACATGGCAAACGTAATTGCGGCCGCAGCCGACTCTACGGAGGAAACAGTTGCTGGCAAACCGAAACTCACCGACGCATTGCTGGGGTTCCAGACGAAGTAGCGCCCGGCCGATGAGGCGGTGAGCACTCCCCGGAGCACGAGAGACGAGCCCGACGACGGGGTCGGCGAGGCCCTCGGGCCGGCCGACGACGCCGGCGGCGAGCGACGGTGGCTGCCGGCGTTGTCGGCGGCAGAGAGGCCGCTCAGCGGCGGCATGGGCGCCATCGAGCCTCCACCGCCGCGCGTCTCACGCGCCCGACCCGGGGCGCCGCTGCACGCACCGCGACCCAGGGCACGCCAGCCGCGAGGCCCCGACCACGACTCGGCGACGCGCACCGCCACTATACCGACAGACACACCAAGCGACGACCGAGGGTGGCACGGGTCCGATGGAAGTCGACGCAACGCGTTATCTCACACGGCCTTTCTTGCGTCGCATCAAGCACCACAACTAACACTCGTTCAATCTCAGCGAGCGCACAAACACTGCCCGGTCACAACTGCTGAACGGGAAACACAGCTATCGGCGTGTTCCAAGCGATCACAGCACGAGTGGAAGGTATCCTCGGGATGCTGCGTCACCGACGCCACACTTCAGGCCAAGTGCCACTTTCGGCGCGACAATATATCTCCCACACGCACGTCAGTCGAGTGCTTCCGAAAAGCCACCACCACCACGCCGTTGATATCCGCAATCCGTGCAACGGCACCGCTCCTGGTGTCCCGCGCGATGCACGCACAGTCCGCTATCGTTGTACCGGTCACTGCCTCCTCTCTGGCCGTCGACTGGTTGCGGGGACAAGCGGGGGAATATCCACAGCTACACGAGACAACTCTCAAAAATATTTCGTAGAGTTTGTGTCGCGGCGACAATAGCACACGCACGCACTCTTCCAGCAAATGAGGAGCGGCGTCAGCTGTTCGGGGCACAACACACGCTGTTGGTGACGCGGGGGGCGCGCGCGGCAACGCGGCCCGTGTTTACATCGCAGCGAGAGCCCCGAGAAGGCCTGGCCGAGCCGCTCGCTTCCGCACTTGCGCCGCTGGGACACCTCGCGCGGTTCAACGCTCCACGCCGTCGGGGACGCAGGCGCTCGACTGCTGACAGCGCGCGCCAAGTCGAGAGCCACGACGGACGACAGGTTTTCCTCCTCCTCCCCGAAACACCAGGGGGAGCAAGCTGACGGGAGCGAACAGACTCGCTTGCTGGATTTCGAGCTGACCGGTCGTGCGCTCGCGCGCTCCGCGCGCTTGCGATCTCCCGCGTCAGCGTGGCTCTGGCCGACTAGACTCGCCCTACGTCATCTCCTGCCGCCGACGACCTTCCACCTCCGACGACAGTGCAGCTCTGATTTACTGGACTTGTTCTACGCCATCCACCGACGCCGAAAGGAGCTCTCGCAGGTGCGCCCCGTCCTCGGACTCCAGTGACCGTGCTCCATCTTTCCTATCTCTTCTATCCCCTCGATTTGTCCTCGCTCGCTGTGGCTTACCACACGTCTCTTCTTCTCTTCTCCTTCTTCGGCTTTCCCACATCTTACTCCTATCCTTTTTATCCCTCCTCACCCCCATCCCCTCGTGAGCTACTGTGGCGGTGTCGCTCTTTGAAGCAGACAATAACCGGGCTCGCTTTTCTCTTCTTTTCTCTTTTCATAGCCACTCCGCAGAAGGATCTCTCTCCCTCTCTGCTCCGGAAAGCGGATGACGACGACAAACGGGACTTTTAGCTTCGCGGGCTCCCTTAGCGAGGGCGCCACGAGACCGGCAAGGACGGAGTCACTTGGAGACGCCGTAGAGCACAACCATTGCGCAACCAATAGCACGCTGTGTGGCATCGTTCGTCGGAAAAATAAACCGCGACATGCTTCGAAAAGATTATGAAGCGTAGCAGTACGTTATCTTGAACCAGTTCTGTTGTAACCTTGCTCCACGTCAATATAGTAATTATGAAACGTCATCAAGCAAATGTGAGCAAAAAACAGCGTCTAGCTGTGACGTCTCAACGGGTGCACGTGCAGTTAAATAAGTCGCATCTTTTTCAGACTTCAGGCGACTTCGGGTATACATACCTCATCTTCCCACTCCACCCCCACAGAAAAATAGTTTAAATAGACGCTCTATAGCTATAATGTCATGCATCGAATCATCGAGTCCCTGTGACGAGCGTTTGGCGAAGCGAAGGTAAAGGCATTGTGGCGAACAGGGCGCCGAATAGACGTATGCAGAGAACCGCTGGAGGCGAGCCTAGGTCAATCTGATCCTTCGTTGAAGGTAATGGTTACTCCGAGTCACAATAATATGCTCAAGCGCCGTAATATTACTCAGGCGTCAGGGCGTTCAAACCCACGGCAGGGTTAATAATAAAGACAGCGCGGGCACGGTGCCAACGTTCTTGCCTATTTCGCAAGTGACAAAACCAAGCATACATCCTTGTGTCTGTACTCTGAGAAATCAGGCGACTCCAGACGACCACCGGCGCGCCTTCACGCCACTCGTACTCAACCACCTGAGTAAGAAGATCGAGATAAAACGAGGTGAGTGAGGTGGGGTTGTTATTTACAGCAACTAGCAGCCTCCTGCGCTTCGTGTAAAGTTTGCCAGTGCGCGAGGCACTTCTGCGAACCATCCGCGACAGTATAGCTTGCCGCACGCATGCACGTGTCTATAGTCGTCGCCGTGCACCGAATAAGAGATCACTACGCTGATCGCGATCACAATTATCGCAACTGTTCCGATGGACTGATCAACGCCACTATGCAACATAACACGAATATATAGGAGCACGCTACGGCTCTTTCACGGCGTAAAACAAACAGATATGAAATCTTTCCCTGCCGCAGCATATATATAGATACGCTTTATATACAGGACATTATTACGGCGAGCTGAGACACACGGACTTTAGCACTCGTATACAGCATACGACCATCGCGTCATACAAAGACTATAGAGTAGGATTCGATCCCGTTACGTCAGTTCGGTCCCTTTCGTACAGAAATGCAGCCGCCGGCAACATTCATATATCAGAGGGCCAAGTTTCATGACATGGCGGGGTCCATACTGTTAGTGGAGGAAGGGCTCTGCAGCTAGGTAAGGTTAAAAAAAAAAGTTCGGCGAATTCACCATAATGTACAAAAACAGAATATAAATCATCTTCATTTAAACTGCAAAATAAATCATTTTTGTTTGACACGGAAAGATCTTCTATACGGCCGAGAGTGGACGTTACGTTTCAGATATATGAAGTGACATGAGGAGGGAAAGGGCATTCTGATGCCGTCCAGGGGCCGCATGATAGTGGCCTGCGGGCAGCACGTAGCCGACCCATGGTCTAGAACGGGGGGGGGGGGGGGGGGGGGCAGCAACTTGTGGCCCACGGGGCAGTGTTATGCGGCCCCAGGAACAGCGTCACACCACCCACGTCCCTGCCACTTTCTATATCTGACGGCCGACTTCACAATTACTTACGACCTGAAATGGAATTTTCGCCTGAAACCTATATACGTTCTATTGCATCTTTGTGAGATGTGTGCTGAAAATAAGCATGATTTCTTATCCAGATTCACAAATTAGTGTCACTTCACCAAACTATTCACTCTTTGCCTGCAGTGTCCTTACCAATTTTCCGTGCGGCCCCCTGCTCTTTCTAGAATAAAGGACACTTCGACATGAACCTTTACATCGCTACAACAAACACTAGTATATATTATTCCGAGCCTTCTTATCCTTTTTTAATGTAGTTATCACGCTACACAGCGACACGTTTCAGCAATGCTGTATTAACGCGATAGCGTTAAAGAGCGCGTTTCGCAGAAATGTCGGTGTCGGCGTCGTTGGTTCTGAGCTAAAGATCATAATCTTATGCGTGACCGAAAAATCTGGAACGATGCAAATAAAATAATAATAAAAGAAATGCTGGGTCAGAGTGGCGGTCGAACCCGGGTCATTGGCGTGGCAAGTGGGTATTCTACCACGCGGCCACAAAGCTGCTTGTGCATACATTGAAAATGACTTTCACTCCTTGAACATGCAGTGAAAGTGATATGTTTTACGAACACACGCGTCCTGTATACATGCTTCTCGAAAAAAACATGAACTATAGCAGCAATATTGTGTGGTACAGATGCCAATTGCCAGAAGCGTCAGAACATCTATCATAGTGACTTCATGGTTTAAAGCCGGTAACCCATTACAAAAGGTCCACACGCTACTGCGCCTGTCAAGTAACAATTTAACTCAGAATGAAAGCTCAATCTATGGCAACGTCTAAAACGGCAACATTATCAGCAGCAGTGCCCCACTTACCGATAAATGAATGCAAAAGTACGAGAGCAAAAGCGCCACGAATAGGACATTCGCAAAATGATCCGGATGACGTCAGATTTATCACCTACAATTAATCACAAGTAATCGAACTAGCTCCACTAAATAGAGAACCTTCCGCGCATTAAGAGATGTAATAAAATGCTGCTTGATCGTTTCTGCTTGAATTATTGAAAAAACGAACCACCGGACGTTAAATGAAAAATGGCATGCGCAGTTTAAAAGTTAAATTTTCGCCTGGTTAAACTGGACATATCGTGCCATCTAGCGGGGCCGAGCTGAACCTAGCACGCCTGCCATCTCGGAGGTCATGGCAGGAAATTGTTCAATGGCCGTTGTTGCTGCTGTGGCTCCCGCTACTTTCGTTCTGCTGCTACAAGTGTAGGCAGCCAGGTAGTAAAGCCGGGCAACGTTGTGCACGGCAACAGTGACATGAAAGGTTCCATATGCGGCGGGTAATATGAAGCGAGCTAAAGGGATGTGGACCATTAAAACGTGATTTTATTTCAAAATAAGCACTTTCTAGGCAGAAAAGTAGCACTACGGTGTTTCTGGATCACTATTTCAGCAATCAACCGCGACATCATATTTGCGTTTAGTTAAGGCTTAAGGCCAGCCGTAGTGGATACATAGCAATTTCTAAAAGGTTTCATGCTCGAAGTGTTTGAAGAACAGAAAATCGCTATCGCGTTCAGCTCCTAAAGGCGAAGCTTTAGGGGCCCCCTAATTTTTTTACAAGAAAGATGCGCAATGAACAATAGATCATGCAGCAATCTGCCGCCTTGCATTCGTACGTTGCCCGCCGGAGCTTTCGTGGGGTGAGGTGTGCATGCATTTCCGTGCAATAATAAAGCGCGCATACAGTTATTTTTCTGCATAAATGTAATTCATTAGACGACACATTCACTCGTTCTCTATAAAGCGCCGAGTAAAAGCACGCCTTGATCCTGGTCAGACAGATCAGTGAAGCGAGCAAAGAAAGTTACGAAACACAGGTTTATGATGCTCTCAAAAAAGACAACTTATGAAGCAAACTTTTACTGCGTCTCCATGTTACCTTTAATAGT